GATAGATTGACACAGTGGCTGCAACAATGGGCTCAAGCATAACAACAATTGTGAGGATGGCTGAGGACCGGGCAGGTTTCATTTTGCTGTACATAGGGCCACTATGAGTCAGAACGGACTCGATGGCATCTAACAACAATAACAACAGAAAGTTCTGCCATATGGGAATCAATGACTGCTTCCCAGTAGCTTTTATACTTAGATTCCTCTAAAACACCACAGAACAAGTCTAATCCCTCTTCCACATTTAAAGGCAGCAATTATATTCCCTCTAAGTATTCTCTTCTCCAGGCTAAACATAACTAGTTTCTTGAACTATTCCTCATATGGCAGAAATGTAAATCCCCTTTGGATACACTCCAATTTTCAAGTCCTTTTTAACTCATTCTGTTAACCAAAAGGCAGTTCGAATTCACTAGCTGCTCCTTGGAAACCCTACGGGACAGTTCTACTCTGTCGCATAGGGTTTCTATGAGTCAGAATCAACTCGACGACAACAGGTTTTCTAACTCATTAGAGCAGAGTGTTAGAGAAAGTTACCTAACTTCCACGTAGTGATTAGAAAACAGCTAAAAGGGCTTAAAGTGCTGAAAAACTTTTCCACTCTAATCACTAAAGTTTAGAGCTTAGGTTTAGTGCTTTGTAAATCCAGAGAAAGCTGAAAGAGACAAGTAGGAATTGCTTTAGAAAATGGGGCATTCGTTTTCTGGGGATAACTTCCCAGTGGCATTCCACCTTGAGCTATGTTTTCCCATATCCAAAAGGATGGAATTGGAGAAACAGCCTAGCTGACTGAACAATGACTGAAATCACAGAGATTCAAAGCAAGCATCACAGAGCAGGCATATAATAACGGCTAAACTTACAGAACTCTTAGTAGGTGCCGGGCATTGTGCTGAGTGCTTAACAGTACCTTCTTTAATGCTATCTGTATCTCCCCACTTTACAGATGAGGAAACTAAGGCTCAGAAAGTGACTTGTCCAAAATCACGCAGCTAGTAAGTGGCAAAACCAGCCTGCGCTCTTAACCACGTGGCAATACTGCCTCTCGCAGACATACTTGACAAATGGCAAGTAAACACCCACAATGGTCAGTGTAGTAAGAACAGTTAACAAGAAAAAAGACGTGCAATTATTGGTCCTTTGTCCTGGTGGCCATGGTAAAGCCCCTTTTAAAAATGATTGGCCCGATATCTGTCCAGAACAGACTGCTGGTCAAGGTAAAGTACAGAAAGCAATCGAAAAGAAATAAAGTGTGCTAAGAGAGACATAGCGAATACAGTGTTAAGAGACAGCAGTATAGCACATGCTTATGTTAGACAGAAGTGAAAGCACGGGAAGAGAGTACGCAGAACAAAGATATCAGTTAAGGGAATGGCCTTAGATCAGAGCAGGAGGAGCTCACCCACTGTAACAGGAGGGAAGTCAGCACTGCAAGAATACGAACATATCAGCTGTTAGATTTTATGATGGGAAAAAGATATTCTTCTCATCTGATTTATTTCTCTGTAAAGCTGAGAATGAGAAACAAACGTGTTACAAGTTTTAGGAGACTGGCAATGTTAAATAATCATCATGGAAGGCGGGAAAACAAACTTCCTAAAAAATGTAGTGCTGAAAATATACTCAAGATTTGTGTTCATGGACTTAAAATAACACCATTAGTTGGGTTGGATTTTCTTCAGCCCTGTTCTAAGGTGCAGGCAGGAAGTGGAAACTTTGACTTAATCAGGGTTGATGTTTTTTATGAAAAAGGAAGAAGGGCTGGGGAATTCAGAACATATGAAAGGGAATGATTAGTATGATGGATAAGGAAGTGAGGACATAGGAGAAGATGGCAGAGTCAATAAACTGAGATGGGATTTAAGAAATATTGGAGTCAAGGCAATTAGTATCACAAAGGCTTGTTATGAGGATTAGAGTAAACGCATATAAAGCATTTAGCACATTACCTGGGACACATTAAGCACTCCATGAATAATAGTTGCTTACATTTACTATCAGTTCAGAGTTCCTCAAAAAGTAAAGTTACCACTAACCTCACTAACCTTCTAGAAACTGTGACTACCACAGTAAAAAAGACAAAGTCCCTGCCCTCATGGAGTTTATATTTTAGAGGGTTGCTATGAGAATAATATATGGGAAAGCACCTGTCATGGTGCCTTGCAAATAGTACCAAACAAAACCCTCTGCCGTTGAGTCAATTCCAACTCACAGCGACCGTACAGGACAGAGCAGAACTACCTTATAGGACTTCCAAGGCTCTGATCTTTACAGGAGCACATCGCCAGTCTTTTCTACTGGGTAGCGGCAGGTGGGTTCAAACCACCAACCTGGTTAGCAGCCAAGTGCTTAACCACTGCACCACCAGGGCTCCTTTTTGCAAACAGTAGGTGCTCAATAATATTATTATCCTCTTTGACTCTAGTTTCTCTGTTTTCTTTCATTTATTATGAACATTAGGAAGTTTGCTGCTGTTGTTAGGTGCTATC